AAACCGAGTGTTTGTGGACCTCGGCTGCTGCTTTTGGACTCACTGAAGACTCACAAAATGGCATCTGTGCGAAATGCTCTCGAAAATGAGTGTTGTACCTCACCTGAATTTATTTCTCCTGGAATTACGGGCTTAGCCCAGCCCATGGATGTTTCGGTGATGCGAGAGTTCAAGGGATTATGCCGAAACTATTACGTGAACTACCACGCCGTCAACGACTTCGCTCAAGGTGCCCCTGCTCGCCGTGCGTTAATTACAGAGATTGTTGTTAACGCATGGAAAGCAGTGAGAGAAAAGGTAATTGTACGAGGTTTTATTAAGGCAGGCATTGTGCCTTATGGACCTCGGGATGCCGAAGGAAACTTTGTAGTTGACGCGCTAGAAGAGTCAGACGACGAAGGAGTAGAGGAGGAGAATGACAATAATGAGGAGGAGAATGACAATAACGAGGAGAAGGACAACAACGAAGATTAATAAAATATCTTCAATTTTACCAATAACTGTTTACTTTATAAAAAAATAAAGTTGAATACACCATCAAGTTTTTCAATTATGGAGGGGGTGTCACCCTTACACTTTTTGTCGTGTTAAGGATGTGGTCGTACTATTGCATATTTTACGTCGTTGCATTTTTTACGTCGAATCCGGTACTCTATGTTACTTACGAAAGCGAAAGAATCAGTACTAAATCAAACAATATTATTCATTTTAAGTAATAGATGAAATAATCATATTTAAGAAAGTTTTTTAATTTGTTATTTTTAAATGACCATTTTGTCCAATACTTTTTCTATTTAGTTAAATAAGCTTATTTTTGTTTAGTTATTTTGAATGATCATTTTTTCAACACTGTTTTTGTGGTAATGATGCAGACGATAATTGTTTTGATTCTTTTACAAATTATATGAAATAGCTGTAGACTTTAACAAAATTAATTCATTTTCGCTTAGCTTATTCAAGCTTAAATCGAATTTAATTGTGAGTCACAATTTTTCCATGAAGTCTACAGAGAATTAATTAAATTCGTGTGCTATTTCATAAAACTTGTATAAGTTTTTACGGTAATATTAAAAATCAAATTGACATCTTTTGAAATTTGCAATCACTGCAAATTTCAAAAGATGTCATTTTGAGCCCATTACGGCCTTAAAAAAAATGGGTACTTTCTTGCAACCGTAATCCTCGAAAGTTTTAACCTCTTCGCAAATCCGAGTACATTAACTTTATTACGTTGCACTACTGCAATTCCACGTCACTCGAAGTTCGCTAAAATGCCGTCAGCGTCTCCGCTCTCGACGCTGAGCGCGACGTTGCTGGCCTCTGTACCCGCGGACGCGTCAGAGCAAGAGTTGCAGGATGTGGACTGGATTGCAGTCTCCTCAGCACTCAAGGCGCTTCATCTGCGCACGCAGGAGGAACTTATGGAGCTAGGAACGGCCCTGGATCGGGTCGAGACACCGGACCGTATCAATACAGTTGAAGAGCGTGGCGATGTTTTAGCGGTCCACAATGAGCTCAAGTCACTTCAACCGCAACTTACAGTTACAGAACAACACTTCCTACAGTTAGAGAGCATTGTGCGACCAGGGCTCTCGAAGCTACAGACGCTTCAAAGTCGAGCCAAGTATCTTGAAGCGGCTGTACAGGTGGAGAAACTGAGCCAAAAAGCCAAGAAACAAGCTGTCCAAGCCACACCGGACGCTCTTGAAGCGTTCAAAACATTTGCCACTTGTGCTGCTGCTATTCCTAACGAATTTTCAGTTATCAAAAGAGAAGCAGCTCGTCGCGTGGAGGATTTATCTGTAGATCTCCGTCAGTTTGCAGTGGAGAAACTCCAGTTGGCACTGGAAAACGTCGGATGGCCAGAACTGCTGAAAACGCAGCAGGAACTCACTGAAAAGGTGTTGAAACAACACCAAAAGGAGTAAAAAAAAGTCGAGGTCTTAACGTTATTTTACTTGTTGTTACAGGAAACGGAGCTACATGAAGTATCGAAGGCGTTCGGGTACTTGTTGACTTTACAGCTAACTCAACAGCCTAAATCGACAACAACGACGGATCTATGGGCGATGGACTGTGTGTTGGACCCTCTGTTGCTACGCTTCCGGTACCATTTTGAACGACATGAGAGCGCGACGAACCGACTAGCCAAGCCTGAATGGTATTTGACACACGTACACGAGCAAACTAATGCACACACGCGGTTCCTGGCCCATTCGCTTACCCCTGAGCTGCATCGCCACCGCGAAGAAGTTCATTGCTGGGACGCTCAGATTCTTCTCCTGCGTGGGCTCGTCAAAGCTGCCAGTCGAAAACTTACACAAGATCTGCCTACATTACTAGCGGTGAGTGGTTTTGTATGCAGATATCTGTTGGTTTATGGAGCTAACTGGGGTTTTATTGTGCAGTACTCGCCGTTGTTGTGTCATACACTGGATGAAGTGCTTCTATTCGAGCAGAACATTGACGAGGACATTGGCTACGGCTCCTGGGCGAGCGCAGACCGCCGTGCTTACCCTCGTTGCATCGATGTATTCACATCAAATAGTGACGTGCTGTTCGCCTGGACCAGCGCAGATGTTGAGTACGCACACCGTGTGCTGTCAGCGACTTTGGAGACGGAATCTTCGGGTGACAAGAAAAACTTAGTGTGGCAACTGGAAGACGATGCTACTACATCAGAACAAGAGCTTGTTCCTCCGGTAGCGCAGCGGTTTGTAGCTCTGCTCGACTTTCTGTCGCAACGATTTATGCTCATGGAGACGGAGGAGCACAGATATCTTTACGTCATGCAAGTGCATCTCCCGCTTCTACGTCGATTTGGGCAGCAGTGTGATGCCCGTGGACGTCGGTTAGTAAATGCTTTGACCAAGAACACCCAGAGCTCGTGGGGAGAGCTGTTCGTGGTGGTGAATGCGCTGCAGCATGTGGCTCAAACACTAGCGATTTGGGAGCAGAGTAGTGTCTTCCTGGAGCTCTCGAGGAAAGTGGCGCGCTCGGAGACGACGCGCGCTCAAGTGCTGCGGATGCACGTGGCGTACTCGAAGCAGGTACTTGCGCGTGCCTCTGCTGCTGTGTTGGCCACAGAAGAAGCCACTGCCGTTCGACAAGCGCTGGCTGGACCGGGAGCTATGATCGGACCTACGGCTGCACTCACCGCTGCATATTCGGTCGGATCCAAGACTATGAAGAGCCTTTTCCGTCGTGCAGAGACCGACGGCAAGATTGAGGCTCCAGTGGATAGTTCTCCGGCTGCTGAAGCGACCGACAACGACAACAACTCGGCGGAAGATCAAGACGATCCTGAGACACTCGTCTTCTCGCACACGATATTCGAGCTGCAGATTGCGGAGCTCAAGGCTCTGGCTTCGACGCTGCTTGAAGCAGGAAAGAATGCGTTAGTGCGAACAGTGGAGCGTGACGTGGAGAATTATCGCTCAAGGTACGTGGACCTGAAGATTTTTTATTTTTTTATTTTATTTTTTTTTACTAACAAACCTGACTCATCTGTGCCCGACTGCCATGTGTCCCCTGTCCCTATTTTGCAGCCCATTCTGGACGGAGACATACGATGACAATGCAGACGAAAAGCAGATCGTGACCGGAGTGTCCTGTGAGTTGGCGGGCTGCTACACGCTCGTCCGCAACGTGCTGTTGTGTGCCCGTAAGCTGCTGGTATCCGAATGCTGGCCCGCTCTTTGGAAACCTTTGGCTTCGGCTCTGGACAACGCTCTCTTTGATGCCTTCTACAACCCTGCGGTCACGGAGGATTCCTCTCAACTGAGCTGTGCTGGGGAGCGCCAATTCGTTGAAGACATCAAAGCCCTCGTAGCTGTATTCACTGCCGGTTCCTCAAAGGCTTTGCCCCGGTCGTATCTCCGTCTTACTCGCGAGCTTTGTCATCTCTTGGAGATGCCTGTTGCTCGATTGCGTGATGTGTTTCGAGCTCTTGGAGATGAGGCCACAGCCGAATCGGAGGCTCCGGTGGAGCAACTTACGACCATCTTAGAGGCGTGCGGGATCTTCTCTCTGACGCCAGCTCAAGTCGTGCGGATATGCACCACCCGCTTGGATGTTCACGGACGAGAAACGACTACGAGTTTGGCATAATTCTCGGTGATATAGCTGCAGTAGAGGCATGGGCTAGTGCAGACAAAAGAGAGAGATTGAAGCAGCTACAGATGGCGTAATTGTATGTGAGATGATCAAGTGTAAACCATGTGTACTTAGTGGTTAATAGGTACATCTATCATGCTGTAGGACGCCCGGTCTCGTCGATATAGCTGCTCGGAGTCATGACAGCTCCCTCTAATACTCGGGACACGTCCTTGAGGTTGCCTAGAAGTCCAAGGAGTGGTGTCGCCATGTCAATGTCGGTCTCCATACGCACCACGAGACTCGTTTCTTCGTCCCAGACGAACAGGACTGAGCACGGGTACTCCAACTTGTGACCCAGTAGCTTAACTGCTAGTGATAAATCCTCTACGTTCTCGGAGCTCATGAGGCGAGGGAAAACGCATTCTAGCGTAGTTTTCGTGATCGTCACACTAAGAGTAGCTGTAGCAGTCACGATACTGTCCGATACCTTCTCCATGTGTGTGCGGTGGAAGTGTAGATCCTCGTGGTACTCAGACAATCGTCTCCAATGTTCCATGAGTACCTCAACACCACTCATGTTGCCGAACTCAACGTCTGGAGCCATTGTAGACCGTAGAAACATCAATTGCTGCTGAGCTTCTGATGTTCGCAGTACATCGCTAGCGTGTGCAGATCCTTGGTTAAACGCGTCACCAACCCCATTACTGAAGAGCTGGAAATACTCGACCACGACGTCCCATACACGCTGCTGCGAGTCGTAGCGAAGACGTCGTCGCTGCACTTCTAGCATCGGAATTTCGTCGCGTAGTTGACCTACCGTCGACTCGAGGTTCGAAACGTATTCGCGCTGCTTTTGACGATACCGGGCTTGGTTGGTTCGACACTGTTCTCGACAAGCTTCCGATTTGACGCTCACTCTGCGCTTCTTCTTCTGTTTGGGCGTCGAGTTGATCGACAAGGTGGCGACTGCGGCTGAGACGGATCGGGCGGGTGAAGCTGTAGCCTGAAACGTGGTAGAAGGTTGCGAGTACGGTGAGGCCGTCTGAACGCTGCGGTTTAAAGGCAAACTTCTGACGAGAGGTGTCGGGACAGCGTCACCTTGAAGTCTAGTCGGCATCGGTCTCAATTCTGCTGTACTCGTCACTGAAGCGGCCAACGGTGATAGTTTTCTCAATGGGGGTAGTCGAATAGTGGAAGGGGGGTTGTACTGCATCGGTTGCTGTTGTGAAGGAGTGTTGGGGTTGTAGGCGCTGCTGTTTGAATCCACGACTCGGTATCCGGGAGTTGTAGAGCGAGTGAGAACGTTCCCAATCACGGCGTTGCTGAACGGCGTGGGGACATGGTCGAAGTTTCTACGGCTTGCCATCATCGCTCCTTAGTGGTCGACTGTGGCGGTAGGAGCGAGAATTTGGTTGTGAGAGCGGGGGAACAGAGCTGCGTTATCATAAGTTGATCGGACAGCCTTACGAACGCAGCATCAAGCTGTCCCAGCTGGCAACTGCGGTTTGCTCTGGTTCCAAGCTCGTCGGGCTCAATCGCGTCAGGCGTAAACAAGCCAAAACTCCAGCGATTTGAACGAGAACTCGGCGGCCAGCCACGAATTTGTGCTCGGTGAACTCGGTTTTACTCGGCTCAAATCGTGTGAGTCAGGCGACAGAGCCACGTTGAAATTGAAGCCAAACTGCACTGCACGGCGTGAGACTCGAGCGGCTGGAAACCGGTCGTCCGTTTATTCACAAGGAGTGACCATATTGTCCCAAGTGGTGCCCGTGATCTCCTTGGCCAACAAAGCACCAACCGTACAGGAATTGCTTCGAGAGCTGGAATGCTCAAATCTCCGGATCCTCGGCGAGGATTCTTTTTTAATTCGAATTGTACCGAGGCGCGACGCTCAAGGCTAGAGACCAGGTCGCTTGGACCGCATATTTCGAGTCGGCAAGCGTTCATACACGTGGCGAACGGACAGCAGAGCTTACACATTGCTGCTCCTTGCAATGCGAAATCAACGGAGCACCGAGACTCCGTAGAGGCGAGAAATTGAAGACACGTCGGACTATATCATCATAAGTCTTACCATCTTTAATCATCTTGCTTCCTGCAGAGGTGATGCGAAGATGAACCTATCGGTATTATTCTAACGGTGTCTTGGTGCTTTGTGAAGCTGGCACACATCATACGATGCCCGACAGCACGAAAGCGCCAGGGCATCGTTTGATGTCTTACCCTGCTCCTGCTGTTGTCTTGTGATCCGGTCCGAGTCGGAACGTAGGTTCTGCGCAAAAGTACAGTACGGATTGACGACCACATGCCGGTAGGCATCAACTGCTAGGTAATGCCAGCACAATAGCTACGCTCTAAGCTCCGTCGACAGAATAATCAATGCAGCTGCACATTAGAGATGGCCGAATGCCAAACTTGTTCGCCGTTTTCTTACCCATTCGTCAATCCCAGGAGGCTCACAACACCCGACGATAGAGTATGAACTGTGAGGGGGTGCTCCGGTGTTGAAACCTCGTCTGCAACGGGCACTACATGCACATCATAACGTCCAGAGGCTTCTGCTCAGGTTTTGCCTAAGCACCACGACGTTGGGACACCGTTGAAGCAGGTACCGCCGTCGGTTGTTCGTCTGGCTCCTTGGACGCAATTGTTTAAGGCCTCGGTGCTCATCTAGCTTCACCACAAACAAAAAGTTCGAGTGCTCTTTACACTCCCAAACTCCTACGCTATATCCCGACTCGTTCATTGCTGCCGAAGGACCAGCCACCACTACGCCAACGTTGGTAAGTCGACTAAAAGGCAATGCTACTGCGGCTGCCTAATTCCCTTCGTAGACCAAAGTCCAGGCACGGTAATGAAAAGAGTCTCGCTTCAACGTACCATGAATGCTTGGGGACCAAGCAAGGCAAGACCAATGCTGTCAGAATGCGTAATGCTTGCTTTCATATTTGTTAGTTATTCAAGGTATATCCAAAGCCAGACGCTGACGTACCAATTTTATTATCCATCTACAGACTCTTAGATGCAGTCAACTTTTGGGTGCTAGGCAAACAACATTTAAGCTCACGAACATCGCTAGCTAGCACGAAGATTTTCATGTTTTGATTGAAGCAGCACCGCAACGCAAACAAAAGCAATGGGTCGATAGTTTAGACCACCTTTCTTAACGCAGCATGCTTGTTTAAACAACGCGTCGCACTCTAGTTTGCATTTCTTTACTAGAGCATGAGTGTCACTTATAGCGCCTCGGCCGTTAAGGCGTAAAGAACCAGGATGGGTTTTCATCACGGTTCCAAGAAAGGCAGCGAAGTTACGTCGTCTGCAGCACGTGATAGTGTCTCCCTCTCGAGGCTGGAACCATCCACTTGAGTGAGACACGGTTGGATGCTCCGTTGTGTAACCACGGCCATAACTTTATTTGCCATCGAATCGACCATCTTGTTGTATTGCATATTGCGAGCAGAGTTTAAATTCTGCATCAACAGAGTATAATTACCTGACTACGTTAGGTGGCAAGCTTCGTTGGCAACTCAGCGCTGCAAGCTTCTTGCCAACCCTTTCACATTTTATTCTTCTTGCTTTAATATAGGCCAATGAAAGGCTTGTCACAGCAATAGCATAATTGTATTTTCCAACTCCAACTATTTAAATTAAAGTAGTTGCGTTGGGCAACAAGAACTTCATAACACCGTATCCGTACGAGACCAGTTCCGGACCACTTTATAAATGTCAGAATTTCAATGAAGGAGGCCACTTGGAGCGACGCAGGGCACACCATACGACGGAGAAGCATTAGTTTAGCACACTGGTGCATTTACACAGTTGTTGTCAGGCAGGAACTCGAGATAGGATGGTTTTAAAAACGGACCTTACGTAGGCGAACAGTTCCGGACCACCTCCCGTTTCGAGCGCTGATAGTTGATAGCAGTGCATACGGCCTTATCTACCCTTACATATCACTCACCAACGCAGCAGATATGTTCACTGCGTGTTCCTCAAGCGCATACCCCCCCCCCCCCCCCCCCCCCCTGCTTGCGTGAAAATGCTTCTATAAACCCAAATGCGTTCCCAGGGAGGCTCTCCCCAGAAACGCGCCCGCTTTCTTAATCTGAATTATCAGATCTAAATCTGATAGGCTCAGACCAAAATTTTACATTTAGGGAATCAAATTAGTCATGGCGCCAATTGCGGAGCGCGCTAGATGAAAACACGCCCGCTTTCCCGCCGAATTATGAGAAACAAAGAAAAATGTGTTACTTAGTTTTTGTATTGAATCCGAAGAAACGCCCGCTTTACAAAACTCTACACACATAGAGTCCTCAATCACTTTGCAATCTTCCAGCTAGCCCTCGCCAAGACTAAGACCCCCACCATCAGCAGCAACACGAATGGCCACCCCCAGCCCGTACCAGTACCACGTCGACGACATGAGCCTCTTCGCAATCGACAAGGTGATGGAGGTTACCTGCGATGAGGCTCGCTGCGTGGACTGGTGCATACAAGTGGGGCTCATCGACAAGGCGAAGACATGCCCGGCATGCTCCTTGCCGATGAGGCTCTCGCTTGTGCGCAAGCGGTGGCGGTGTTGCCGCCGAAAACAGCATGCTGAAGGAAAAGAGATTTCCCTGAGCATGCTGACCAGCTCCTTTTTCACCGAGGCCAAGATTAAGATCTGCACCGCTGTTTGTTTGCTGGCGGCATGGTGCATGCGGCTTCCACAGGCCAACGCAGCCGAGCTGGCAGGGGTTAGTGAAGATACCGTCCAGTACTGGTACGCGTGCTGCCGCTCTACCTGCTCAAAGGAGCTGCTCAAGTCCGAGTTTAAGGTAATGTTGCTCTTATGTTGCGCTTATGGCGCCCTAATGTTACTGAAACGAGTTATTTATGGTATATAGATAGGTGGTGCTGGCAAAATTGTCGAGATCGACGAGACAAGTCTCGCAAAAAAAAGCAGAAGTACCGCCGAGGGCGGCATTACGAGGAGTTTTGGCTGTTTGGTGGCGTGGAACGGGGCACTGGCCGGTGGTTCGGACGGGTTGTGTACGACAAGCGTACTAAACCTACGTTGTTGCCGATAATTAAGCGCTTTATTAGGCCTGGGTACGTAAATCAAAGTGTTTGTATTCACATTTACTACAACTAACTCTTCATACTCTTTAATAGGACGCATACCTAAGTCTGTGAAAGAGGTGGGAAGCAGTTCACACTGAAAAACAACAGAACACCGTTGTCTATGAAGTATTTGCACAGTTGGGTAAATCACAGTGAAAACTTTGTGGACCCTAATACTGGGACCCATACTAACACTGTTGAAGGGTTGTGGGAGACGCGGATCAAGCGTCACATAAGGCAATGAGAGGCATAGGCAACGACCGTCTAGGCGCCTATCTAGACGAGTATATGTGGCGATCCTGGTTTTTCCCTGCTAAACCTACCTCGGGTCAATTCATGGCAGGCTTGGTAGTTGCAATTTTAAGAAATCAATAAATTTGTTGTTCATGTCTGAATTTCTAGAACACGGTTTCTTAAAAGCGGGCGCGTTTCCGGGGAGAGCCCCAGGGCACACCTCCCAATCATTTATGGCTCTACATCATGCCCCTATCGCCGCTTCTTTCAATATGGAGCTGCCTGCAGTATTTTACAGCTCTGTAGCTTCCGCTTACAAGAAGAAATAAACTTCATTAGAGCAATGAAGTCGCGTGCCAAGATGCCCTGAACCTGCTCTAGCATATGGGTATTTTATCAGAAGGTATCCAAACCTATCCAACAATATATGCTATCCATGAGGGTAGAGTGCCTCCTTGCCTCAGTACCAGAAGTAGAGCATACGCGCTTAGCAAACCAAGGTGAGCTTGTATCGATCGTTTCATGTTACGGTGTACTGTGGAAGCCATTAAAGTAACACCGCCAGGGTTGATGATCGGTAACACGGAGAGGCCTCGTCGTATATTGCGCGTAACTTATTTTAGTGGTTCATATCGAATTTTACAGGTTGAATAAAGCCCTTCATATCTGATCAAATTAAATAATACAATACTATCAGTTTTGAAGGGTACAATTTTATAAATCACTTAGTGAGCTGGCCGTTCAGATGGATTTGTAAATCAAATCAGCCGAACACACCAGTGCATAAATCGCCTTGGAAATCTGAGGTGGCGTCTCTAAATACTTGTGACCGGGTCTGAATATTCGAACCGTTTTTCACAATACTTTTCTGAACTTGAATTCTGACAACAAATCCTACAGTTCCTCTCTTAAATATCGTGAGGCTCATAAAAGACGATGTCTTCTCTGCACTCAAAATGTAACAAATCTGTACGAACCGTACTTGTAGCACTCAACACAATATCAACACTCAAATTATGCAGTCACCACTCAAGAAACAGATAATCCATCTTATTGCATACCAAGACCACTCAATATCAACACATGCACTTTTTAAAACATAATAACCAATCAGATGCAGGGTACGAACTTATATCAACCAATTAGAACTTCTAAAAATGAACGTCTAAATCTCATGAGGCCATTGAGAGCCACTCGCTCACCCGACACCAAGCTAACAACCACGTCCAGCCCTCCCTCCAACTTCTCGCTTCATTGCCATGCCCACCAGGATTCTTTGAAGCCCCATTACACCTATCATGCCGACCAGCGACGTTGAAATGTTGTTCGACTCGTTCAAGACCTTCAAGGTGACGAAAAGCCACCTTGTCTCCTGCGGCTTGTGTGGCCACGCAGCTCCGCACGCCATGCGGGTCCGCCTGTTGGCCTGCAGCTGCCCGACGTGCGAAGCTGTGGTGACTCCCGCTCCTTGTGCATGGCGTGGCAAGACACTTGCCTGCCAGCACCTGAACCTCATGCGCGTAGAGGAGATAGGGGTCCACGTCTCGCCGGCGCCGTCTACTATACACCCTCGCCTCACTGCCCCGATGAAGGAAGTAGCGCGGGAGTGGGCAGCGCAAGGGCTGAAACCCTCCCGTATTCGCAGTGGATTCCTGAGACGTTTTAATCTCGATGAACAATCGCTACCGGCGCTGTCAGTTGTGCAGAAATTCGTGCACAACTATGCGACTAACCATCTACGCAACAACGACCTAATGGGCACAGTGAGAGCCAAGATACAGGAGGCCGCGTTCACCGGAACCGCAAGCGAGAGTGATCCCTTCACATTTGTTTGGGAAAATGACGCTTCTGGTCGGCCAATAGTAGGCAACGGAAGCGATGATACGCCTTTTGTTGTTGGCGTAACTACAAAACGATTGCTGCAGCGTCTCGACAGGGACCCAATGTCCTTCGTCTTCCACGTCGACGCGACCTACAAGTTGTGTCATGTTTCATATCCAGTTTTGGTGATTGGCATATCAGCACCTTTCACCTGGTTGCCATTGTGATTATGTCGCAACAAATGCAGCTGCACTACTCTCGTGCACTTGCTGCGGTCCGGCGTGTATTCCTCCTTACCGTTCAGAAGCCGCTTCGTGTTTTATTCGTGATGTCCGATGCTGACAAGGCTCAACGAAACGCAATCGAGGAAGTTTTGGGTGCCGATACCTCTATTGTCCACCTCATGTGTTTCTTCCACGTAGCCAAGAAGGTATATGAAAAAGCTAAGACCCCCCTCAGTCACGCGCCACTTAGGCGCACGCCACAATACCCCTGGTGGAATATCAAAGGGCAGCCTGCCGGCCGCCTTTTCGGGTAAACTTCAGCAAAAACTGGTCCAGTAAAGCTTGAGAGGAAGCCTGTGACGCGTGAGCTCCGACGGGGGGGGGGGGGGGGGTGCGAGACAGCGATAGAGCCCCTTAGTAGGCGTGAGAAGGCCCCGTGGCCGCCAAGATCACCTCGCGAAGGCTTGGGGTCCGCCAGCCAACGCACCGGCTGAGGAGCCAGGATTTTAAAGATGTGACCACACACTGATGTGTACACTCAACACAAGCGAATCTTTGTAGTCTGTGACACAACTTGTGACATCTGTGAAGCCCTCTTGCCGCAGCGCAGTTTATGTTTGAGTGCTGTTAGTACGTTTATGAGTGGGAGTAGTAAAATCGTAGAGTGTTTTCCGTATTTACTCCTCATAAAAACGCATCACCCAATAGATTCACGCTTGGTCAACGCCCGCCGATTAGGCCGGGCTATGCACACCGAGCGAGCGCTGCAACCCGATTTTTCCCCGGCCACCGCACCTGCTGCCGATGCCGAGGACTTAGCGTAAGGATCGAGGGGGTGGGGCAAGCTCCCCGTAGTGACGTCGGTAAATCCGCAGGCGAGGTCCAACGCGAGAGTGGCTAGCCAAACTCTAGACTATTTTTTAAGCAAGTTGAATTGTGATTAAAATATTAAAGTTAAAATTCATGTGATTAAAAGGATGTCTAGCCAATCAAACCCACGTAGAAATATCTAGCGGTGTGGCCTTTTCTGACCGCTAAAACAAGATTATGTAGAATAAGATCACCTGCGACCCTTGGATAAGATTTTGCCGTGTGCGACGCTTCAGAAGAGACGCAAGATTTTGCTTTGACTGCTTTCATTTCTACGCACGTCAGATGAGAGGAAAAAAAAGAAAAAGGGCTCAAACCAGCGGTAAAAATATAAAGATAATGAAACATGATGCTAACTTAACAAAAGTATTGTAGTAGTGAAACAGCATCGGTTTCTGCATGAAAAATAAAACCCAAAGCGCTACAAGAATGATGTCTGTTCAAAATCACAAATGTTTTTTTTTTTTTTTTTACTGTTTCGGCTTTTTATGCGGTTAAAGTGCTCACATTGTCGGAGAAAATTGAAGAGAGCTGGAAAAATTTATAAAGAAGAGCATCATCTTGTGTTTCGAAAACAAAGCTCGGAATCGACGGAAACTAACAATCGCAAGTAAGTTCTACTTCTGTATTTTATTGTGTATAATTTCTGTAACGGGGTTACACGGGTTTACACCTGGTGTATTCCACACATGGGTACGGAGTACCCGAGTTAACAAACCTTCAGTACATGACTCGTAGAGTTA